CTATCTTTCAATCCGAATCGACTTAAGGTTCAACTCAAGTTAGCCATCAATCGTCTTAAATTGATGCAACAAAAGAAAAATTCACTCAACAAAGAGGCACGTAAAGAAATTGCAGCTTTGCTTGAGAATAAAAAGGAAGAGAGTGCGAGAATACGGGTATTTTTAATAAACCATATTGGTTATTTTGAGGTATGTATTTTGTACATTGATTTTTGTTTCATTTTAAATAGGTTGAAGGTATCATTCGAGAGGATTATTATATTGAAGCAATGGAAATGTTAGAACTTTATTGTGAACTTTTGATGGCAAGATTCGGACTCTTGGAACAAATGAAGTAGGTGTCTAGTTCGTTTCGTTCAAAGAATAGCAATTTTATATTTCGGTAACATTATTTAATGTCGGTTTATATTAGAAATTGTGATCCTTCAATTAGTGAAGCTGTTCATACATTGATTTATGCGGCACCCAGATCAGAAATTAAGGAATTGAATCTCGTATGTATTCAAATTAGAGCCATGGAATTGTTATTATTTTCTTCTCATATCTAATATGAAATATATTTTTTAGGTACGAGATCAATTGATAGCAAAATTTGGAAAGGAGTTTGCTATGAATGCCATTGATAACAAGAATGATTGTGTTAACGAGAAAGTGTGTATAAATTTTAGATACAATAAGTATTTTTTGTTCAGATAAATATCTAATTTACATACCTATTTCCTACCAATAGCTTATAACCAAACTCATGTTTACTGCCGCGGATCCATTTTTAGTAAATCGATATCTCGAGGAAATTGCTAAATCGTATAATATTAACTGGAAACTAAGTGAAAATGCGGATGATTCATTTTTTTTGGTAAGTAGATAATCTTTTAATATATAATTCGCATATAACTTAAATTAATTTGACTTAACATTAATAGTTGGATTCGAAGGTTTCCAATAATAAATTAGAGCCTTATACTGCTCTACCAGATATGGGGTTATTGATGTCTTTAAATGATGATGGTGACGACTCCAAAGAAAAGAGTCACTCGGTAAGCGGCCCGTAATGAAGAAACTACCGCCATTGTCACAATATGAAATTTACATCTCATTCATTCTCCACACGCATTCAAAGACACCACCATTATCATC